TACGGTCAACACTGTTGTTTTAATATGTGCTGTATAAATAAATTTTGATTTTTTTTATTTATTTTGAAATGTTGAAATATTGCCATGTTATGCTGCTTTCTGCTTTATTTTTGCAAACAAATATTGAGCTTTTGCCAAACCATTTATTTAAAAGCTTTAGTTACTTAATTAAATTCTAACACAAGCCAAATCACATTACATAGTAGTAACCAATACTTAAATAAATGGTGCTTTTTTTCAAAATGAGCTATTAGCTAATGTGATTAACTATCACAATAGTAAAAAAGCATTACTTTGTTAACCACCAGTTTGCTTAGTATTAATAAGTTTCATCCCCCTAAAATCTGTTATAATTTTCCCTTTGTTGGCCTCATCAGATTGTTTAGTTTCAACCTTGTAATTAAAAACATGGTTTTAGTCCAGCAGAAGAGACTTACAAATCTTCCTCTAATGAATACCTTCACAGACATTTTGAGCCCTTTGAGTGCACCTCGTTCATTGAGAACTGATTTATTACCTAAACCTCTGAACACAGAGTCACATTTGGGGTATTATATTTGTGCACCCAGATGAATGTAACCCTTCAGGCCTTTGTGAGCTGCTGCTGAGCGGTTTAACATTATTATTAAGCAGAACTTTCACAGTGCTATCTTTGCTACAAAACAGTACTTGACTGTTGAATGCTGTGTGAATTTGTTTTTTTAAACCTGGTAAAAATATGCACATGCATTTGAATAGGCTCTAGCCTTCTTTATGTACTTGGGGTTATTGTTTGTCTTGACACTTGTGCGTTTACAGATGTTGTTGTTGCAGGACGCTTCTCTATGGTTTCATAATAAATTTCCTCACCTGTGTGTGTGCCTGACATGTGCTCCCTGCCACAATGGAGAGGTTTATTGTTTATTGTGACATTTATTATTAGTCTTGCCTGCTGTGGGCAGCGGGCTCTGGTAATCACAATACTGACATACTTTGCAGAGCTATTTTAGAATGTGACAAGACAAATGAAATGCTAACACTTTATAGCTTTTTGTTGTTCTTTTAACATTACTGCTTATTATATTATCATTGCGCAGGATGTATAATGAATTTACCAAAGCTTTCTATTGCCGTATAACAACACATACTTATCCTTAGAGTTTACTTTGAACCCACATAAAGCATGCTGCACAGTAGCCATGATGGTTGTCTCTTTCAGTGAAGGTCAGTACCTTATTGGACTCTGAATGCTGGCAGATGTTGAAGTTTCTGACAAATTGAACCAGGGCTATTTTTAGGCATGGATAAGCTCTGTGGTCACCAAGGGTGGTAAGGTCCCTGGTGAGGGTATGAGTAATTCTGTATGAGCATGTGTTCTGAGCTGTAGTCACTTATCAGTGAGTAAGTAACTTTACAACTTATATATAATATATATAATCAGTTTTACACTTTGTACTTCTAAATGTTAGAGTAACATTTAAATAAGGGCTTCTATTTTCTTATCAGATCATGAGTTTCACAAATCATTCAAGTGTGGGTATATTAATTGTATTATGTGTTATATAAATACATTGTCAGCTATAGAAAGCCTTCATTTGACAGCCTGACTGTTAGACCTGTCCCTCACTGGCAAAGGATTGTAGTTTGTTGTCATCTATCATCCACCTGCCCTTACTCAGAGTTTTCATCTGATTTCTCAGTCTTTTTTAGCTGGTTTAGTGCTCAGTTTAGATAAAATAATAGCAGCGGACAGTTATAATATTCATCTAGATGCTGAAAGCAAGAGCCTTAACAGTGGATGTATTCTATTTTTAGACTCACTTGGTTTCTCTGAAATGTGAATGAGTCCACACAGCACTGTGATCACACTCTGGAAATTGTTCCCACATATGGCATAGAAATGGAACATTTAACAGTATTCTCTATAAACCCTCTTTTGTATGACCATAACATTTAAATTTACAGTAATTGATGGCACAGCCTGACCTGTCCAGGGTGTACTCTGCCTCTCGCCCTAAGACAGCTGGAATAGGCTGAATGGATGGATGGATTAATTAAGCAGGAATACATAAGCAGGAATATTTCATTACAGGAGATGTTATCTTCAACACCACGTGCCAACAGATCAGAAATGCTAGATTGACTGGTGTAACTCACCAATGTCCACCCTAAAGTAAAGCATTACCTTACAACTACATTCATTACAGTTTATGTCTTTTTGAAATTTGGGCTTAACAAGCGTTGAGAGATTTTTTGTTTGTTTTTTTTATTCTTATTTAGACGCCTCATCTTGTGTATTGCTGAGTTATGAAGATACAGTTTTGATGATGGTACAAAACATGCACTCTTTTAATTATGAAAATAAATATTAAATCACATACTGAGTCATAAATAGCCATAAGTAAGAGTTTTAGAAACACAGGTGGATAGCAATGTGCATGATGCACACAAACTCCCACACACGCACAAGAAGAAAACAAACTAGCCACTCTATCGAGACCGATGATGAGACCATGACAGCTATGAGCTTTCATGACTGTTCTCTGTTAAAAAGAAGAAGAAGAAATGATTACACTGATATGATCCCAAGAGATAAACAACACTAAAGGTTGCCTGAGCACGAACTCTCTGAGAGCATTTTGGCATCTTTTCATATCTTTGATTCTGCTGCCTGTTTTTCCCCCTTTTGATGTAATTTCGAAATGCCTGTCTGAATTGTTATCTCTGTGTTGAGGAAAGATGAAAAGAGAGTAGGCTATATATATAGAATGAAACTTGAATATATAGAATGTATGAACCTCATTTTTAGAGATGATGTGTTTCTGAATTCTCTGCCTTTACAAAATGGCATCAGCTGAACTATTTCAGTACTTTTTAGAGCTTGACAACTGTTTTGCGACAGCTGTTCAAACTGCAAATGGTAGAAATAATTTGGAATTTATACTACGTCACCTTGAAGAACACGTTTTCATTATTGCAACATTTCTAGTGCTCATGAATAATGTTCAACAAAACGTTTCTGGGAGAAGATTATGCACACTTCTTGAGGGAATTTATCAATCACTGATGGAGATGTCAACTGAGCTAACACTTCGAGCAGAAGCTGAAGCACATGTTATGGGCTTATTATATCATTCTACATCTCAAAGAGGAAGGCCAAGGTAAGTGATAAAAATGGAAACGAATTCATTCATAATGTGTATGGCACTTGAAAGAGTCAAGAGATGGCAAACAAGATAATGAATGCAAGAAATAAGAAAGAAGTTAACATATTTCTTCTTTTGTTTCTAACTCTTTTAGGTACAACATACCAGCTACTCAGCTGACTGACATGCGAGACTTGGGGTTTAGTTGGATGGCCATATCTCAAATGTTGTCAGTAAATGTTCGAACACTGTACAACCACAGGATACAACTAGGTTTAGTGGACTATGGAACTTTTAATAATACTTCAAATGTGGATCTTGATCATCTCATTACTGAGATTCTTACACATACCCCTGGCTCAGGAGAATCCTACATTAGTGGTAGTTTGAGAGGAAGAGGAATCAGAGTTCAGCGGTGGCGAGTGCGAGAACGTTTAAGAATAGTTGATCCAGTGGGAAGAGCTTTGAGAGGACGGAGAGCAATTCAGCGGAGGGTCTACAAGGTCACTGTCCCAAATCAAGTGTGGTATGCCTTTTTTCACGTCTTAAATTTGATTAATGTTAATTATTACTTCCTGCATTGTAGTAATATAATATTTTGTTTGTGTTTTAATAAACAATGTTGTATAATGTCTGGGTTTAAAATATTGTTTATCTCCAGAAATAGGTTACATGACAAAAGTACAAAGTCAAAGTCATAGACCTTTATTTTAATGTACATCTAGTGTCATAATAATAATATATTTCTTCTTATTCCAGGCATATTGACACAAACCATAAGTTAAATCCTTGGGGGTTTGTGTTTCATGGAGGAGTTGACGGCTACAGTCGCTGCATTACCTACATGAGATGCTGCACAGATAACAGAGCATCAACTGCTATGCAACTTTTCCAGAGTGCCATTGATCTCTTTGGCCTCCCACAACGTGTCAGGGGTGATGCTGGCAGTGAGAATATTGATATTGCACGGTTTATGATTGAACATCGAGGGCCAAACAGAGGAAGCTTTATGGTTGGACGAAGTGTGCATAATCAAAGAATTGAAAGATTGTGGGGTGAACTAAACAGAGTTGTGTCAGCATACTTTAAAGACCTTTTCCTCTTTATGGAAAATGTTGGGATTTTAGATAGCGCTGATCCATTTCATATTAGGGCTCTTCACCATGTATATCTTCCAAGAATTAACAGATCTGTGGATGAATTTGTAAATCAGTGGAACCATCACAGCTTAAGGACAATGGAAAATCACTCCCCGCTGCAGCTGTGGACTGTTGGAATGTTGCAACTTCCTCAGCATCACAGACCGCTCAGTCAAGTGCACTTCAGACGTCGTTCTTACCATCACCAGCAGTTGACGGCTGACTTGAGGCAGATCGACCCCTTGAGTGACGATGGAAATCATGGGATAGAAGTTTTTTTGACAGCATGCCGCATGCTTCAGTTAAGTTATTAGTAAATTTGTTTGTGTTAATTAAAAAATGTAATTGAGTGCCAGACACTGTGAAATATCATGATACTGAAAAGGGTCCAAGACTATTATTTAGGTAAAAGTAAGGTAAGGTAAAAAGACTGGTTTTATCTTCATATTCACTTGTGCCATTTAAATCATAAAAGTAGACAAATAAAGTGTTTAGACTACACTTTTCTTTCATGACAAACCATACTTGTCACAGTACAAAATGTTACAGTATATGTTACATATGATTGTATGATGTACTAATGTATCTGTTAATAAACAGGAATTATGATTAATTCATTAAATAAAATGTTATACATTTTAAACTCTTTAAACTTTTTTTTAAAGACACAAATTACATAAAAAGTAGAAACACAGAACACTTTATTTGTGTATTTCCAGTACCCATAGGAAGGAAATAATATTCTGCACTAATAGGGCTGGTCTTAAAAAAACAAAATGAAAGAGGAAAAAAACAAACAAACAATCTACAATGGGCCTGTGTTATCAAGTAGTATAGTAAAATATGCAAACAAAATCCTTAAAACACTCCCTGCAAACCAGGTTATGTTTATTATCATTATTATTATTATTGTTTATAATACTTTGATAATATATAATAATTTCATAAGATTGTAATGTCATATAGTGTGATATAATGTTCATATTTCAACCTGTAACATAACCAGGTTTGACCTAACCAATGTCTGTCACATTTATAGACAACTTTGCTGCCAGTGTTGGAGATACTGTCTTTCTACCTTTTAGTATGTAGGGTTACTGTAATACTTTTCAAAACTTTATCAAAACCTAACAAAAACATTTTTTAAACCTGTGAGTTAAGCTAAACGTTAAATGATATTAATACAAAGTTCTGTGTAAAGCATAAATGTTCAAATGGGACACTGAAATAAAGCTTAACTCATCTCATTTGAAAATTCACATCTGTGGAATAGTTGAACACAGGAAGCATTTGAGAAAACTTAATTCTATATAACAATGAGATTGTGGCATATTATTTTGCTCACTGCAGGGGTGCTAAATAATGTAATGTTACTATGGGTCATACCAGAGACAAAACATGCCATATAAGCAGGAAAACAAATTAACTACAATCAAAAAACAAAAAAATGCCTCACATGTATAAACTGAAACAAAATTATTCCATCCATTCTGTTCGGCTTATCAAATCCATGTCTGATTTGAAAGTAGTGTGCACTGCATGAACTGGTATTTAAGCTGTAATTTGAAAGACACACATGAAGCTTATTTAGGCTATACAGTCCTACTGCTGTCCAGGGTGTACTCTGATGCGGGGTTAACAACATTAACAAAAAACAAGAAAATAAAAAATGCATATGCAAAATAGAAAAAAAACCAAATCCTCATCATGTCACCAATCCTTAAGAAAACACATCATGCTCTTCCAAATCCTGGTGAATTCCGTATTGCAAAATCCATGTCTGATTTGAAAGTAGTGTAGACTGCATGAACTGGTATACGAAGGATATTTTCACAAGTATTGGCCACTGGAAATCTGCAGTTAGTGACGAACTCAAGGCTTGGCTTTGGAGAAAAACCCAGGGCTGGTATGCTGTCACATCCAGTGCAGAAAACAAGAATATCTTCCAAAGAGACATCATTTTCAACTATAAGATAGAAAAACTACAAAATGATAATGAGATTCTGACTAAGACTACTGATGTACAGATATATTAAATTACCAAAAGATTAAATCAAAAGTGAAACGTATATTTTTTTTAAAGTAAGCTGTAATTTGAAAGACACACATGAAGCTTATTTAGGCTATACAATGAAACCACAATGTCAAAAAAATAAGTTAGTGGAGACCACAACATATTAAATGTACGTGGATGCAGCAATAGGCTGTTATTTGTACTCAGTATACAGGATTGGTAATAATTTATTTATTTAGTTATCCTCCTATTTATCCTGTTATTTATTTATCCTGTTAATACACTGAAGTCAAACTGAAATCACATTTGGATACAATGTTCTTTGTAAACCCAGCACTTGCATCAGTACTATCTATCTACCTTTTTTGTTATGGCATCTATGTCTGTAATTTCATGATGCTGCTGCACAAAAGTGAGAATTTTGATTTATGGTCAAACAATGTGCCAAGTAGTAAACTCACATTCTGCCTCCTGAAGATAGTCTTGCCAGAAAGCCAGGGTCCGGCACTCATCTTGAAATGCATTACTCCCTCATTCGGAGTGAATGATCTGGAATAGATTCTCCATATCAGTTGCTCTGAGAGTCATTCCAGCTTTCACGAAAAGGCACTTCATCTGAAGAGGGTATGTCTGTAGAGCATCTAGGACACCTAGAGACCTCAAGCCATCTCTGAACCTAGCCAAAATAAAACAAAATCAAATTGTATTTTATATTACTATTATTATATTTGTATTTGATGGGATTTGGAACCTGTATCATAACAAGAGGTTTTGAGGTTTTATCAAGAGACATTTCTGAACTAATTACATTTTACTTTCCTGTGGACTGCTGTATCAGAGGTGAAGAACATTTTTCCCCTTACAGGGCCAGACTGTCTTAGACACAGATAAAGAATGCCTATACATGGAACAACTGAGCTGAAATATGATACACAGGGACCTGTCATTAATTGGAGTAAAAGTGACAAATTTCTGTCAGTCTACAGTCAACCCAAATGCTACTCAATTTGAAACTATTTTTATTTACATATTTAAACACATGCCTACATCGGCACAGATACAACGTTTTATGTGAATTTTAATTTCATGAATGAAAGATATCTGTTTTGTTATGAACTGTACTAGAATGGAGCGCTACAGACCTGTACCACCCAAATAGGGTAATAGCATTGTTTCACAACACAATGACTTTAGTTTGACAGGCTTAATTTTTTACCATTACAGTATGTGTTTAGACATACCTTTCAAAAGGTGCACGGGTCCGTTGAAGGACATACCAGTGAGCCAGATCCAAAGCAGTTTCTTGTTTGTTTTGAAGTGTTATGCAAACATTGTGACCAGCAAGACTGATCAAGCTGGCTGCCTGTGCAACTGCATCTTGCAGCTGTAGATCATTCTCGGCCTGTATGATCTAAAAACAATATGAGGAAATTATAAAATGAATTATTTGACTCTACTATTTAGTAGAACATACAAAACTAATAGCTTCAGTGTTTAATTAGTACATTAACCCTATGAAACCCCATAACCGATCAGGAGGCTGAGGTATAAGTTATTAAGCTGGAAAACAAGTCCAATCATTCAATTCTGAAAACTGAAACTTGGAGTTTCTTGGGCAGTAACCAACAGAACCATAACCTGCCACACACATTTTTAGTTCTTCCTTCTTGTAGCCATTAAAATGTTCGATCTTTTACTAGAAAGGTGCAGGACTCGGGCAAGAAAAATTAGGAAAGTGTTAGTAAAAATGTTGGACAAGCAAAAAAAGACCTACCGGTACAATGAAATTGAAAGAACCAAAGGAAAATATGCTCACCGACTGCACTTGTGACCTTGTTTCCTCATCAGTAATATGATCAGTGCTGACTTTTACATTGTCTGGACCCTTTTGAAGACACTCATACAAGAGTTCAGACAAGAAACATGGACTCTGTCCCCCGTGGGCAATTGACATTGCCATGATCTGGTCAGCATAGTAGTATCCATTATCTTTCATTGCTGTTAACAAATAAAATAAAACATCATCTCAAAAGCTTGCATCATTATTTTTGTTACTGTGGCATTTTTTATAGTACAAGTTACCAAATGTTATTTCTGAAAAAAAATATTGCCCATACAGTTGCACCCATAATAGTTTGGATAATGACAAAATCATCTTAATTTTGCTGCGCACCACCACCTTGGATTTTAATACCAAACAATCAAGATGATACTAAAGTGCAATTCCTTCGAGGTATTTTATTAAAAAATGGCACCAGCTGATTAGGAATTACAGTCAATTTGATACATTATCCACCATCTTTAAAGATGGTTGCTTTAGACAAGTGATTGAAAGCTAACACCATTTTATGTATTATTTTTAATACAAGGATTAAAATTCTTTACAATTCTTTACAGCCTTACAGTCAGATCAGGTAACTGAGCTGGCTTGTTATGCTTTGGGTTATTATCAATTTACACTGTCCAATCAATTTAGCATTTGCATTTGGCTGAATCTGAACAGATTGCCCTTTACACTTCACAAATCACCGGTGATATCATTGACAACAGTAGTGGCTTGGTTCTATGGCAGCTACTCATGCTCGTGTCATAACACTGCTTCCACTATGTGTGACTTAAGCTATTCTTTTCTTTACTATGCTTTTCTCCTTCCATCATTTTGGTTAATCTTGGTGTCATCTGTCCATATCTTCATAGTAGTATAGCATAGTTCTTTTAGATGTTTTCTGGCAAAGTCCTTCCCGTTATTTACTATTGCACCTTGTTGTAAAACATCTGTGTTTCCATTCATAAGTGCATCTCTTGATTGTTGAATTACACCATATCAGTCATTTGAATAATTACTTTTGAGAAATGAGAGAGCATGTATAAAAATGTCCAGAATTTCTAAATATGTAGTACTGTTTCAAACCTTTCAACTAAAGCAGACAATCTTCCCTTCAGTCAATCTAGGTTTAATTTTTTAAAATCCTCTGTGGTGGTACAAAAATTCTGTCATTGCCAAAAAAATGTGTTTAGTTAACTGTATGAGATACTACACTCGTACATGTAATCACAAACCAATTGATGTATAATGTATTGATGTAAAATAAATCAAATGGCAACAATTAATAAAATCATAAGTACCTTTAGAATTGCACGTAAGAACTTTAGCATTGGGTGGACCTTCAAAGATGCCAAGTTTGTCCTTGACTTCACAGAGGCAAAGTCGGAAGAACTCCCGAGTAGGTCCTCCATTGTCAACAGCACCCTCAGATATTCCATAGTCATCAGTAAACTTCACATCTATTTTTTTCTCTGGTGAAAAATTGGATCTGCCCATGGCTCTGGATGCTCCATCCCACACATTTCGCCTTATGATGTTGAAGCGTACAGTGCTGTCATTATTTACTCTAGTAACAATCTGCTCCAAGATTCTCTCTAAGCTCTGGACGTCACACACACAAAAAAAAAAAAACAGTAAAGAAATATACTAGTCTCAATGGCAATAACCCACCAACAGAATAATGATGTACCATCCTTAAGACTGTAATTGATATTTAACAAAAAAGAGATACAAATCAAGAATGTTTGTGATAATGGAAAAAAGATTAAGTTTAAGTTAAATTAAGTTTACATTTTTATCTTGTCATAAATACACTAGTATTTATAAATAGTATAAATACACTATATAAATACAAGCAGAACAAGAAAAACAACAAGATCCAACACTGACAACCAACCTCCATTCAAAAAAGTAAAAATAAACCAAAACATATATCAAGTAAAATATAAGTAATCTGATAGCCTTGGTAATCTTCAAATGACAACAGAAATCGCAGGTTGCGGTTTGCAGTTTGTAGTTTGCTTATTCAAACTGATCCAAAACTAGACAGTAGGTGACTCCTTTTCCGCAACAAACATAAAATAATGGTTAATATGTTGACCTTTCAACATGACATGTAAAAGTTTGTGTTGTACTGACCTTTCACTTGCACTTGAGTCTAAAGACCTTGTAATGGCTTCTTGGAGGTCGGGGTCATCTGACAGGTATTCTTCCTCAAACAGGCCAAGATATGTACTGCAAAGCCAGAATGTTTTGTAAATTATTTAGTTAAATTACATATAAATGATGTTGACATAATTACATTATCACAATACATAGATTGGCCTCAGCATTATTAAAGTTGTGTGGGATCATCTTGACAGAGAACAGAACAAAAAGCCTGGAAAACTATTCCTGAACCATGCTTAAAGAAATTCAATAAAAAGAAGACATCACCATCAAGAAAGCTTGGTTAAGAGAGTTCAAGCTATGTTGAAGACTAAAGTAGCTCATATCACATTTTGAATTTTAAGCTCATTAAAATTCTACAAGTTTTTTTCTACTCTAATATACTGCGCTTCCATGTCTGTTTCTGGACAGAATTTTGTAGACTTCAGTAAATCACTGCGCTTCTTTCCTATTTTTCCAGCAAAATACAAAGAAAGGAGGGGTGGCTCATGACTTTTGCACAATATAGCTCAAAAGATTAAAAGATACAAACATCTACAAAACACATACCTGTAGGATGTGCTGGATAAACTTGGCTGGGTAGGTCCATTGGACACACTGGAGGTGTTACTAGAGAAGACACGTGTGTCACCAGTAACACTGGCAGAAGAACCCGCTGATAAGCCAGGTGTGTTGTAACTGACAAAGGCAGATGTTCCACTGGAGTAAGGCTCATCCTCATCAGTAGCAACGACAGCAGGATTGGTGGACATTGTGAGGGTGTCAGCAGAGATGGAAGATTCAACAGTACAAATATCTTGGGTTGCAACGCACCAGATGACCTCATCATCAACAGACATGGACTGTGCGTTAACAATGGGAATGGCTGAGGGAACTTCTTTAGAAATTTCAACTGTGAGAACACAAAGAACAGGAGTTTAACTTTTGAATAACATCTAATCACATTTATAGCTTTTGCTTTTCATGTATTTAGGGGTACATTTCTTCCTTCTCAAAATATTAAACTAAATTTAAATATGATTTTAACAAAGACTTGACACTTAACTAAAGACACAATGGCTGAGATGACTAAGTAACAGACACTGAACCAACTTAATTTACAGTTTATTTGGAGCGACTTTTAGATAGGAATATTTACCGCATTTGTCAGAATTCAACGTTTCTGTGAAATCCTGCCTGCTCGTATGGCTACTCTCTCCATCAGAATATGTCTGTAAATTAAAACAGAGAATACATTTCATTATACTGACAACAAAATGTCATAATAAATATTAGTAATATGTTTATGTATTATGTATTAAAACATAATACAAGTGACAATGTTTAAGGGAGTTTAAAATCCATCTTTGCCTTTTTCACTCTCATTTTATGAACATACATACATTTGCTGAAATGATCAGGATTACTTACTGATTCATTGTCCTCACATAAGATGACCTTGTCAGGTCTGACATAAATTGACTTCTGATGAAACAGTTTTTTCACAAGGTCTCCATTCAAAGTCTGTTTGGAAGTGAGTGATGGCTCAACTAGTTTGGTGTGGCATGCCAGCAAAATCTGTAGCCTAGGGGAGGAAGAAAACATAGTATATATGAAATTTTTGTTATGGCTAACAGACTACAATACAATACAATACATTAAAAGGCTTAATTTTTGTTAACTCTAAAAGATATCAATCCAGTCATCCGATCGGTGCTCCCAGATCCTTTTTGGAAATACCCAAAGTTGACCTTTAATAGTATAATAATCTAAGTAACAAAAAATTTTTTTTTTTTTATAAAAAAGGATCTAATGCTTACCTGCATCCTTCAAGAACTGGCTGGAAGGCAGTCCTTATTGCCTGCATTACTTTGTCTGAGTCCCAGTCACAGCTAAACTCCAGTGCAGATTTTATATGTCCATTTTCAAAAAGCCAAGCTTTTTTGTTACGCCTTGGCACATGTGTAGTTAGATGGTCTGGCAAGAGAATCACTTCTTTGGTGAAAGACTGAGCCACAGAATGTGACCTGCTTAGCTGTGCTGGAAACCTAATGGAGATAAAGGCAAATTAAACATTTCTGCATGTATATACTCACTGGTATTTTTGTTTACTTAGCTTCGTCGAGCAATTGAAACCTACGGGCTATTACTAACCCTCCACTAGTAATTTCAGTGCATTCTGTTCTTACCTCTTCTGCCTTGGGCCCTTTCGAGTAAAAGGTTCACACTGCAGGCGAAAGCGCATCAAATCCGATTTTTTTGACCCTATGCGACCCATATCCGATCATGCTATGACAGTGTGAACGGCGCAAATCCGATATTTTCAAATCCGATCTGGGTCACTTTCGTATGTGGTACTGAATCCGATACATATCCGATGTTTTAGAAAGCGACTGCTGTTTGAACGGTCAAGTCGCATTAAATCCGCCTTTTACGTCACCGACACAAGACTGAAGCCAATTATCAGCGCCCGAGAAGACATCGCGAACGCTTCCTGGCCATCCAGTGTGGATGTCAGTGAAACTGTTGGGAAGACAACGTAAACATTTTATTTGTACTGTATAATCTGCAGATTCTGACAGAAATCTACAGCTATCCTTTGAAGCACCGCTCCTCTCTTAAACGGCAATAAGGATCATTATTAGGTTATTTACATTATTATGTAAATAACAAAATAACTTAAAGCAAAAATTGGGAAACGTGAAGACCGAAGTCTTTATATTAAGGGCCATCAGTCAAACAATACTGTTGCTCTGGGTCTAAACAGAGCGCGTTGTGTGTGACATCTTCTTTTGCGCATGCGGGCCGCTTTGAGCGTTCACACTAGAGAGCGTTTGCTGTCGCATTTTATTTGTAGTGTGAACGAGCAGACAAAAAAATCGGATTTGATCAAAAAATCGGAATTGAGCATTAAGACCTGCAGTGTGAACGTAGCCTTAATGCTCAATTCCGATTTTTTTGATCAAATCCGATTTTTTTGTCTGCTCGTTCACACTACAAATAAAATGCGACAGCAAACGCGCTCTAGTGTGAACGCTCAAAGCGGCCCGCATGCGCAAAAGAAGATGTCACACACAACGCGCTCTGTTTAGACCCAGAGCAACAGTATTGTTTGACTGATGGCCCTTAAAACCTGCATGAGCCGCGGTGGGCGTGGCCAACAATCACACAAACACACCCGTTCTTCTCTTTGGAAGTATTTTTTAGTTTTTAAACGTAATTTATTTGTCTTGGGGCGTAATTTACTCGAGCTCAAAATGTCAAACCCTCTGCAACTTCTCTTCATCGTGGTGAAGAAGACTGTGGAGCCACTTTGGGAGGAAAATAACGGTACACGACGTTAGCTGAAGGTTAGCTTCTCAGAAACAGGTAGCTCGAGTGGACAGCTAGCTGCTGAGAGAGGGAGGCTCAGCCATGGAGCCCGGAACTTTTTCAAAGTACTCCTGGACCGACTTCGTCTTCTCCGTGATCGGAGTGTGCACTTTTCTCGTAGACTGGGGCTCCGATGTTTGGGTGGCCACTGAGTTTTACTGCCGAGGAGACTTCTTCTGGTTCGGAGTCCTGGTTGGCCTCATGGTCCTGTCGTCCGTCGTGGTCCAGATGTTCAGTTGGTTCTGGTTCAAGTACGACCGAGAGCTGCCGGGCTTCAGCGCACAGACTGGGGCGAAAAGCGTGCTCTTCGGGGACAGAGTGAAGTTGTCTTGCCTGCTGCATGTTCTACAACTGGGCTTCCTCTTTAGGTAAACCCGCAGGTGCTTTAACGCAGAGTTCCCAACTCTCAGCTGTCACCGTAAGGAGAAGACTAAATGGCAGGATTTTATGGAAGTGTGGCAAGGTTAAAGCAGTTTTATTTTAGCTTTAACACTAGGTTTTTCATGTTTGAACAGCAACAGTGCACAGTCCATAAATTTAAAACTGAAATTAATTTTTAATTTGATAAACATCGGGGTAATGCAGCTGCTTGATTGTTCGGATGCGCGTCTTCTCCTTTTGAGTTTAAGACTCGTATTAAAACATATTTATTTGCTGAAGCCTCTGGCACTTTTTGAAAGGTTGGCTCTATTTTTCTGTTTTCTCTAATTCTCTATTTTTTTTTTAATGTTTGATTTTATTTTCTGTTTATGCTATTTTATATGTACAGCACTTTGTGAACCCCGGTTTATTTTAAAGTGCTTTATGAATAAAGGTGTTATGGTATAGTAGTACCTGTTTTGAACATTTTAAAGTTTGGCACTGATAAATAAACTCCAATGTGCACTAAAACTCTGAAGTTTTCCCAGCCAAAGTGCACTTAAGAACATAAATGATTGACAAATTAAGATCAGACATTAGCTGGTCTCCAACTTGTAGCTTCATAGTCCAATGTGCACATAGGACAATATCACCTCTGCAAATGCGAATATTCCCACTAGTGCAAACATGTCTGAAGTGAACCATTCCCTTCTGTGGCTTCAAAGTACAGATTCTAAAATTGTACATGAAACAAGAAACTTGCAATAATAAACTTGTATTTACACTAAGTGTACTTTTACGTTCAAGCATAAACATACAGACAGTGTTTATATTGTAATAAAGGGGATTTCTGGATACATTTTTAACTGAAGTGTCAAATGAAATACCTGATGAGCACTCAGCTCAGTCCAGTGTTTACACAAAGATGCTCCCACAGTGGCTTCTTACAACCACAAATACTGTACTGTAACTATACAAACACTAGTCAGCCACAACATTAACACCACTTGCCTAATTATGTGTACATCCTCTCATGCTGTCAAAGCCTCTCAGACCTGCTGGGTTACCAACACAGGAGCTGTGAGAGCGTTTGATGGTTGGTAGGTTTATGGGTGTTCTCAGCAAATACAAAATCTGCTAAAGGTTTTAGTGTTGTGGCTAATGTATAAATTACGTTTGAAAAAAAATTGCATACAGGTTTAATTTTTCATTCTGTTTGAAGCAGGAATCGTTTGATAAGCTCAACCAAATCTGTTTGTGTGCTTTTTAATTGTGTTTTATTACTCCAGCCTGTTAGTAGCCTAAAGATTACTGTAAAGTGTGAGCAGAAAGACAGTTTTTCTATATAGGTGTTATAGTTCAGTTCACTTTAGGATTTCTAGAAATAGATTTAGAATAGAATTGTATTTATTCAGTATGTAATTATAAAAACTAAGCTATAAATGGTTTAATAAAGAGACTTGGTTAAAGAGTAAAATAAAAACAGCAATCTTACATTTGTACATTGTTTCTAGTGGGTTTTCTTTTTTACTAAAAGTGTGGGAGATCTGGATTTTCCCTCTAAATTGGAATTTGTTTTTGAAACACTGCAAAACTTGTTTCTGAGGTTTTAAATTACCTTTGTTATCGTGTGTGTGTTTTATTTTATCTTGTTAGAGTTGCTGCTGGAACCTTTTTGAATGTAAATTTCACTGTAAGTTCGTTCGTTCATAGTTTCCTTTCAAAAGCTGGTCAAGTGTTTTAAATCCACTAGCTTGGTTTCTACTTTTTTCTTTTGTGTTGTAAAGCGAGTTCAGCTAACCTGCTGATTTGTCACAGACACGAATGTTTTAGATATTTCTCTGCATTTAGCTGCCAAATCTAGTGTTATTGTCGCTCATCCATCCACTATCTGTTTAGCTTGTTCAAATATGTCATGTGCCAAGATACTTTTACTTTAGTATACATGCAGAGCTGAAAGCACATCCTTCTCTCAGCTTTTTCAGTAAACCTGCCTCCACATCATCATTTACATCATTTACTATATGTTGAAACTCTGTTCTGTAAAAGAGTTGATAGTGTTTGGAGCCACTTTTTGGCATGCTGTCAGCTGGTATGAAAAGTTAAGGGGATTACTTCCTGTTAAACATTTACCTCATCTGTCCCGTGCAATTATTAAAGTAGTACCTAAGTTAAGTCACTTCTTTTTGTTTTTGTGTCTTTCTGCAAACCCAGATTACGAGCATCCGCACATCTTTTTACTGTAAGTCATTGGCTTACAGTAAAAAGATCTGGGCTTCCCCTTTAGGCCATTGTTTTCCAGCTGGGCATCTACTTCAGGTAGTATTAAATTAATAAAGCGTGTTTAAAGTGCCTGTAGTGCAAGAACTCCATCAGGTTTGTGCATTAAACCACAAGAGTACAGATTTCATCATCTGTAGTGCTGTGGTTCTGTCAGTTTCATTTTATCTTATTTTTGAACTATTATGTGAAAATCAGCATTTATAACTTCCCGAATTCCCGAGTCATGCTTTAATTTTCTCTGTTTCACAAGATAAGCTACATTTTGTTTTCTTTCCTTCACTGTGTGTCGGGCAAACTGATTTCATTTGCTCACTTGCTTCCATAACAAGAATGCTTTCAGGAAAATTCAACTAGGTGTGTTTGACATTTGGATTTGCTTTACCTGGTTGTGACTCATTTATTATATTTTGGCTCTCAGGCACGCAGGAGTCCTGGAAAAGGCTGTAGAAAGCTTCCGCACAAAGCTCCCTGACCCTGAGGGTGTAGCTGTGTTTCTGAGCCAAGATCTGAGCATGTTGCGAATCGTAGAGACGTTTTCAGAGAGCGCCCCGCAGCTCACACTCATGCTCACCATCATTCTGCAGCAGGGCCATCTGGATCCTGTTACAGGTACAGTTTATTACTCGAGTTAAAGTCATGTATGTTTTGGGCAGAAATAGTGACACTGTAAAATAAATTCTTAATGAAAAACTAAATGGGGAGGCTCATTGCTACTTTAAAGTAAGTTTAAAGTCTTCAGATTATCAAAGATCAGCTCACCCATATTCACTTCAACTAAGCCGAAAGTATTTTTATGCTAGCAGTGTACTTAGACATAGAGTATGCACTTTTTGTACACAGTACAAATACAATATGCACAATACAAAAGTATTCAGCCACAGATCTTTGATCTCAGTGCCACCGTGTACAAAATAATTAAGGTAGCTAGCCACGCTGTCAAAAACATTTTTAAAAGAATGCTTTGTTCTAAAGAGCTCACTCAATTCAAGTGTGGTGCTGTAATATCAAGCCATAGTTCAGTAACCATTCAGTTTGTGAAATGTCTCCCCTCCCAGATATTCCTTTATCATCTGTAAGTGAAATTACTCCAACCTCAGTGTTTAGGAACCTCAGCAACCTGGACAGGAAGTGGCAGACCACATAAAGTTACACAACAGGGTCACCACGCGCTGAAACATTTTCCGGCGCTCGGCTAAAAGATTCAAAAACAAAGCCATGTTTATTGTACTTACATGTTTTTGTTTAAAGTATTATTCCTGATTAATTTCTGCCACATGCACAAAAATCTGATAAGAGTGAGAGACCAAAAACATGTATTTGGCCTAGAACGATTAGCCTAATCCAAACAAATACAGACACATGTTCTTCTGTGCCACAGTTTTAATAAAAAACTTTTTAAAAAAAGTAATGTAATTTGTGTCCTTTGTAACTCCAGCTACCGATCACATGCATATCAAAAAATTTCTTGTGCAGGAAAATCCCTAACCATTAAAAGGAACAATGCTTGAAGAGGAACCCAAGACAGGTCATTGCCTTCCACATGACCCTCACAGAATCAGCTGATTTCCTTGTATAAGAACTCTGGCATATTTGTTGAAATCATGCAAAACTTTACCTTCACACTACAAATGCTTTGTGAGTTACAGGCTGGTGAAGTACACGGGAGTGGTTTTAAAGGTGATGTTGTTGATCTTCGATAACTCTTAAATACAGGCGATATCCACGTGAATTATTCAGCGCTGAAAAACATGTTTGAGCTCAAATCAATTTTACACCCACTTCAAATGTTACAAATTGAAAACAGATTTTTTTAAATAACCACTAATCTAATGGCATAAACCAGTGTTTCAATCACAAACCTGGACCAGTTTAATATCGGTGATGCTTGGGATGCATGGGATCCTTGTTCTTCTTCCTGATCATTCAGTTGGGAAAACTTAACAAAGTGCTTTTCAGGTTATTTTTATGTGAGTGATGGGGCCTGATCCAAACAGTTCTACCATATCAAAGGTCTGATTTTTATCTGCATTTTGAAGCCAACATTTTCAAATGTGTTTTTTCAGACCTAAAATTTCCATATGTGACTCTGTTGAAAACTGAGGCCTATGCTAGACTTTTGCACAACCTGAACCTAAAATTTCTCTAAATATACCAAAGTTATGATACATTAAAAGTTGTTGATCTGGGACCAGGTTTGCTTGTCGTTATGTGGAGTGGCACACTTCACAACATTTCTCTTTGCTTGTTCTGACGCTGCCTCTCGTTCTCCCTCAGTTCTGAAAGCCGTCGGCTCAGCCTCGGCTATCGCCTGCACTGTGACGACCTACCATCGCTCGCTGCGCTCCTTCCTGCCTGCCAAAGGCAGGCTGTGTTTTCTAGGACTCTGACCTTTTGTCTGTTTTTGCCACAGATATAATGTCTCAAGGCATTACTCATCTTAATGTGGAGATGAATTTGAATATGCACTTTCTGCTGTGCATTAAATCATTTCACTGTGTGTCAAAACATTTCAACATATCAGTCGTAAATTAAAGGGTAAACGAGGTGGAAAATGAGAGGCTTTAATTATCAAATCTGTAATAAATAATTGTTGTTTACATGTGAAGAGATCCTTTTTCAAAGGCTCTTTCACTGGATCATCTTTTCTAAAGAATGTAACAGGTTAAAATTATTGTCAGCAGTGACTGAGTCTGCCATCCCTCCTCCCAGACAAGAAGGTTTCTACGAATGTCAACGTAATCAGTCTCACTGTGCTTAGCACTGGATTAAGTTGCTTCTACCATAAACTGAGGAGGCGTGTCAACAAAAAAACAGACATTTATAGCAATTTTTCCTCTTCACACAGTTAGCTGGTAGATGGCAGGCGTCTGACTGTGGGGTAACCTACTGTATATGTCTTGTTGCCACATCAACATGTGGACATGCAATGAAAATATTCCTTACCCATGTGAGTAAAGGGGCTCTGTAGCTTCATGATTAGTGTGCGTTTGTTCCGGTTTTTCTTACTTCACTTTGATTTGTGCACGGCTGCAGGTGAGGCTGACACAGCGGAGCTCAATGAGCTCATCACACCTCCACTGCATATGACGTGTCGGGACCTGAGGTTGTGTTGTTGTGTGTGTGTGTGTGTGTGTGTAGCCGGCAGCTGAAAAGCTCTGGCCGAGAGTTCCTGGACATCCAAGCCAAATGTTTATCACTTGAAGAATCAGACTCCTTTTGAACATTATGTTGATGCTAAGTATGTATGTAAATATGGTGTCTGTATATATACAGCAGAACTGCTGCTGATGTGTCAAGATGATAAGCGAGCATCCGGCAGTGACAGGAAGTACCTGCTGGGAAGACGAAGACAATGTTCTTTTTAAACTGTGTTAAAAGTTATTGTGGTTTTGATCTGACCTATGTATGAAATGGATCTGACGTTGAGGGGGCGTCATTAAATTTAAGCCCTGATGGTATAAAATATATGTTTATGCTTTGATTAAGTCGAAGATCATCAATTGCTGTCTGCGTACGCAGTGATCTTCCCACGCGTGCATTAAATCATTGTTTGACTTCACCCGGCCGGATCAGTGTGGTTATTCTTCGATTTACCTCTTGTACCCTTCCTCAATATTGAACCCTTAACAATGGCCTATATTTGTGACTGTTTCTTTTGTAGTTTATTCCTATATGAATATTAAAAACTTGACTCAAAGTATTAAAAATGTATTTACATTGCTTTACAGAAAAAGGGAAAAATCATAGGACTGTGGGGGAAAGAGTGATTACCTCAGTTAAATAACTAGTGTTGACTATATTAGGTTCAGCTTTAAGGACCTCTGCATGTCTCCAAATGGCTTTGAATGTCTTTGAAATGAGAATATTACAAATAGAAAAAAAGAAAAGTGGACATCTGAACATTTCCACTAAACTTTACATTTGTGAAAACGACATTGGTTGTATTTATGAGGTTTCTACACAACACTTAAGCTTTAAATAATGTGCATTAAGTTTTTGTTGTCGTTATTGTTTTGAACCACTCGAATGCAAATCTAAACTCTGACATGAATGTTTTCTCCTTTTTTACAAAAGATGTTAGTTGTGAGTTCAGCTCACATGTTGATTAATCGAAGAAATGAATATTTTAGACATCAAATCTCTGTTTGTTGAAAACTTTTTCATCTCTTCAGTGTAATTACTAAAGTATTAAATCACTTCTTTTTCTTCTATGATGTTTTGTTCTGATTCAAGATGGCGCCGAGTATGGCAGCCTTGTCGCGAGCTCCCCCAAGCAACAGCTTTTTTCTGTGTTTAATTTTACTTTTCCTTCATTTTTTCGCGAGTAGCACATGTCTCCTTGTGTACGACCGACAAACCTTACTGGACATAAAAGACGGTCTTTCTTATAACTTTCTGGAGTTCAAGTTTTGCAACACGGACGCTCCGTTTGCAGACCCCCCATTCATCTCACCTGAGACGCCTTTGTTCTCTGGCCCTGGAGGCCGCAAACGCCGACGCAGAGGGAGAAGATCTGGCGTTCTGGTTCGACTGAGACGGCGCACTAACAGACCACCGTTACCCAGTTTATTACTGGCTAATGTGCAGTCTCTGGAGAACAAGCTGTGCGAGCTTCGGGCACGGATCTCATTCCAGCGAGAGATGCGGGACTGCTGCGTGATCTGCCTCACAGAAACCTGGCTATCGGACAAGGTACCGGACTCCGCAATACAACTACCGGGGTTCTCCGTGCATCGCGCGGACAGGTCACAGGATCTTACTGGGAAAAGCAGAGGCGGTGGTGTATGTTTCATGATCAACAACAGCTGGTGTGATTATGCGAACGTGCACCCGGTCAAATCCTTCTGCTCACCGGACCTAGAGTACCCGATGATTAAGTGCCGGCCATTCTGGCTACCGAGGGAATTTACAGCAGTGATTATTACGGCTGTTTACATTCCCCCACAAGCCGACACTGACCGATCACTCAGGGAACTGTACAGCGCGATCAGCAGCGAGGAAACCGCACACCCAGAGGCGGCGTTTATCACAGCCGGAAACTTTAATAAGGGTAACCTGAAGAAAGTCTCACCCAAACTCCACCAACACATCCACTTTAACACTCGTGGAGATCGGCTACTCGACCACTGCTACACCTCTTTCCGGGATGCGTACAAAGCCCTCCCCCGCGCCCCATTCGGCCAATCAGATCACCGCTCCATCCTGCTCCTGCCCGCCTACAGGCAGAAGCTGAAACAGGAAGCTCCAATCCGGAGGGCGGTGCACTGTTGGACGGACCAATCGGAGTCTGCGCTGCGGGACTGTTTTGATCACGTGGACTGGGAAATGTTTCACGTGGCTGCTAGGGGCATTGATGAATACACAGACTCAGTCTGCGGATTTATCAGGAAATGCGTGGAAGATGTCGTCCCATCCAGAACAGTCAAATCCTTCCCAAATCAAAAACCCTAGATTAACGGAGATGTTCGCGCGGCACTGGCGGCACGGAGCACCGCTTTTGCCTCCGCGAACACATCGGACTACAAACACGCACATTACCAACTCCGGAAGACGATCAAAGCAGCCAAACGTGAGTACAGGGACAGGGTGGAGCAACAGTTTGACAACCCTCGGAGTATGTGGCAGGGACTAAACACGATCACAGACTTTAGAGGGAAAACCAGCACACCGCAGACCACGGCCTCTCTGTGTGAGGATCTAAACGTATTCTACGCTAGATTCGACACAGCGAACACCATGAGACCGGACAGTGTGCGCACCGCGGATGACGTCAGTGCGCACACTGTCTGAGGAGGATGTGTGGAGGTGCTTCAGGAAGGTGAACGCACGCAAAGCTACTGGTCCGGACGGGATTCCCGGCCGCGTCCTCAAGTCATGCGCGGCTCAGCTGGCTGGAGTGTTCACGCACATCTTCAACCTTTCCCTCTCTCTGTCTGTAGTCCCAGCCTGCTTCAAAATGGCCACCATCGTCCCTGTACCCAAATCCTCCACCATCTCCTCATTGAACGACTGGCGACCTGTAGCCCTGACCCCCATCGTAAGCAAATGCTTCGAGAAGCTGGTCAGGGACTTCATCTGCTCTGCACTACCCGACTCGGACCCTTTACAGTTTGCATACCGCCACAACAGGTCCACTGATGATGCCATAGCCCTGACACTACACACTGCCCTGTCACACCTGGAGAAGAGAGACACGTATGTGAGAATGCTGTTTGTAGATTACAGCTCAGCATTCAATACCATCGTTCCCTCGAAGCTGGACAGGAAACTGCAGGATCTAGGACTGAGCAGCTCCCTCTGCAGCTGGATCCTTAGCTTCCTGTCTGACAGACGCCAAGTGGTCAGACTGGGCAGCATCACCTCATCCCCCGTCACACTGAACACTGGTGCTCCACAGGGGTGTGTACTGAGCCCTCTCCTATACTCACTCTACACCTACGACTGCACAGCCACTAACAGCTCCAACATCATTGTGAAGTTTGCGGACGACACTACAGTGGTGGGTCTTATCACCAATGGTGATGAGACGGCTTACAGGGAGGAGGTCAGCGCCCTGACCCACTGGTGTCAAGACAACCATCTCACCCTCAACGTCGCAAAGACAAAGGAGTTGATAGTGGACTTCCGGAGGTGCAGAGAAGTACACACCCCCATCACCATCAACGGCGCTGCTGTGGAGAGAGTGAGCAGCTTCCGGTTCCTTGGTGTACATCTGGCTGAGGATCTTACGTGGTCAGTACACACAAACAAAACAGTGAAGAAGGCGCAGCAGCGCCTCTTCTTTCTCAGGAGACTGAAAAGATTCGGCATGAGCCCCCGCATCCTCAGGACCTTCTATCACTGTGCCATTGAGAGCATCCTCACTGGATGCATCACCACCTGGTATGGCAACAGCACCGCCTACAACCGCAAAGCTCTCCAGCAAGTAGTGCGGTGCTCTGAACGGATAATTGGAGGTGAGCTTCCCTCCCTCCAAGACATCTACAGGAAGCGGTGCCTGAGGAAAGCGGGGAGGATCATCAAGGACTCCAGTCACCCCAGCCATAAACTGTTCAGACTACTTCCATCAGGAAGGAGGTTCTGCAGCATCTGGTCCCGTACCAGCAGACTGAGAGACAGCTTCTTCCACCAGGCCATCAGACTGCTGAACACTTCATAGACACCTCAGCTTCACTACTGGAACTTTAACATTATGCACTCCATACTGTACAGTAATGCCACTGTTTTGCACATGTCTCACTCTGTATATTTTATTTTATTTATTTTATATATTTTATTTATTGTTTACTCTATTTAATTTGTAAAATATGTGTACACACACACACACACACACACGTAGAAAAATATTTAGTATACACATCCAGAAATGCATATACTATTACAGTGGGGCAAAAAAGTATTTAGTCAGCCACCGATTGTGCAAGTTCCCCCACCTAAAATGATGACAGAGGTCAGTAATTTGCACCAGAGGTACACTTCAACTGTGAGAGACAGAATGTGAAAAAAAAATCCATGAATCCACATGGTAGGATTTGTAAAGAATTTATTCGTAAATCAGGGTGGAAAATAAGTATTTGGTCAATAACAAAAATACAACTCAATACTTTGTAACATAACCTTTGTTGGCAATAACAGAGGTCAAACGTTTACTATAGGTCTTTACCAGGTTTGCACACACAGTAGCTGGTATTTTGGCCCATTCCTCCATGCAGATCTTCTCGAGAGCAGTGATGTTTTGGGGCTGTCGCCGAGCAACACGGACTTTCAACTCCCGCCACAGATTTTCTATGTGGTTGAGGTCTGGAGACTGGCTAGGCCACTCCAGGACTTTCAAATGCTTCTTACGGAGCCACTCCTTTGTTGCCCGGGCGGTGTGTTTTGGATCATTGTCATGTTGGAAGACCCAGCCTCGTTTCATCTTCAAAGTTCTCACTGATGGAAGGAGGTTTTGGCTCAAAATCTCACGATACATGGCCCCATTCATTCTGTCCTTAACACGGATCAGTCGTCCTGTCCCCTTGGCAGAAAAACAGCCCCATAGCATGATGTTTCCACCCCCATGCTTCACAGTAGGTATGGTGTTCTTGGGATGCAACTCAGTATTCTTCTTCCTCCAAACACGACGAGTTGAGTTTATACCAAAAAGTTCTACTTTGGTTTCATCTGACCACATGACATTCTCCCAATCCTCTGCTGTATCATCCATGTGCTCTCTGGCAAACTTCAGACGGGCCTGGACATGCACTGGCTTCAGCAGCGGAACACGTCTGGCACTGCGGGATTTGATTCCCTGCCGTTGTAGTGTGTTACTGATGGTGACCTTTGTTATTTTGGCCCCAGCTCTCTGCAGGTCATTCACCAGGTCCCCCCGTGTGGTTCTGGGATCTTTGCTCACCGTTCTCATGATCATTTTGACCCCACGGGATGAGATCTTGCGTGGAGCCCCAGATCGAGGGAGATTATCAGTGGTCTTGTACGTCTTCCATTTTCTGATGATTGCTCCCACAGTTGATTTTTTCACACCAAGCTGCTTGCCTA